CTTGCTACAAAAATCTCTCTGATGCCGCTAAAAGGGCATAACAGCATAACATATGACCAATAAACTCACTTAAAAGTCCCTATGCATATAATGGTACAAGGAAAAACACATATCAAAAGCATGAAAGCTGAGCAAAAGGTCTAAACACATAGCGAGTGGATTTGTGGGTAGCAGCAGGAAAGTTGGTTCTTCCTCTGTAGGAAGCAGGAGATAACAAGCAGAACATATTAAAGACATCTGGAGAACAGGAGAGGGGGCTCATGGGGGAAGAAGAATAGATATTAATAAAAAAAGAAGGAGACAGGGAGACTGTGAAAAAGAAAGAAAGGAAGCCCATGTTTTCAGGCAAAGGAAGGATGAAGCAGACAAAAAGAGAGAGGGAAAGCTGGAGAGGGGATGTACCCTGTGGTTAGGGTTTTACACCAAGCAGGGAAAAGCAGAGGGAAGCACACATGCACACACAGAACACACACCACCTTTCCCATTTCTGCAGGGTGCGGCACAAGCTGTTTGGAGCCAGCAGCCTCTTCTCTGTAGCATGACCTATTTCAAAACAATACTTCCCTCGATGGTGATGGTTTAGAATCTCCCTCTTCTTCTTTCTTATTCTCACTGTTTCCTTCCATGGCCCTGTTTCTCGCTCTAACTTTCCCTTTTCATTTTTGATCTCCTCCTCTCTCTGTGTTTCTCCTCCTCCGTCTTTCTTTTTTACTCGGCCTGCTGTGGCTCAGAGTCGTGTTGCGTATTCAGAGGAGAAGAGTGTGAGGGGCAGGACGTGAGTGATGGGGAGGAATCGGAAGAAGAGGTTTATGGGGAAGGGATGCAACAAAAGTACATTGGAAGAAGGATGCAAAGCGGCACAAAGTGGATGAGTATAGAGAGTCAAGCCTGCATATGACAACTAGGCCTTGATTTCACAATCAGGCTGCCTTTATAGTTTCTCAGAGGCTACAATGAAAGGTAAGACTTCTTTAGATGTTACGCATTGATACCTTTGTTGTATGAGCACAGACCGTACCTTTTAATGAACTCCACAGCCTTCAACTCGTCTTATCTGGAAGACTACTTTTCAGATGTCTTTGTACCAAACAGAACAATTCTGCACATGTCCCTGTTCAATACAGGCTTTTAAAACTTGTAGAACTGATCAAGAAAGCAATTTCAGTTTCCTTAAAGGTTGAAATACCGCAGCATGTTGAACAAGAAACTGGTATGATGGATAGGAATCCAAGATGGATAGTGAATATGAAACAAGGAGTTTATTCATCATGATCATAAAAACAATACTGAGACAATGAAACAACATAAATGAATGAACAACAATGAACAATCTAGCAGTAGGGTTGGGAATGGCCGGGTTACTCACGAGACAATACCATAGAGGATACATGATATAGCATAAGTGGCCAATAAGAACATTATATAGTTATTATATAGTATCACAGGTTCACATTATACAGTGAACCTGTGATAATTATATGCATGACAGTGTATTGCAAGACAGTCTTATAATGATACATCAAGATATCTGATTAACTGAAGAATATGAAATTCCCCCGAAGAAGGTTAAGTGCAGGATTTAATATTCACTCCAATTTGGTTGGTTTCACCTTTGATCACGCTTCATCTCTTGACTTAATGCTGTCCAACATTATCCTACTTTCTTCTTCTACTTCAACTTTCATCCCACTGTCAACTTCTCCCTTCTACCTATTAACTCTATCGTGCACATTACACTCATTCGTTTGCCGAGCGCTATAGAAGAAGTGATGCAGCGAGTCAAGAGAGAGTTCCTGTACAGTATATATATATATATATATATATATCCTATCCTGTATATACATGTATTTTTCCAATTTAAAATATCAGTATTTGGCACCAGCAATTCAAAGATCGTATCACACGAGTCAGGACGACAATATATTGTCATATTTATCTGTTGTCACATCCCTACATAACAATAATCAACAACCATGATTGCTGCTGGCACTGACAGTCAAGAAAGTACTTTTTCCTCAAAGGCAAAATGCTCCAACAGACATTATGTCACGACCTGCTATAAGTAGACATAACTGAAAATGTGAGTCATGTTGTTTTCCAACCTCTAACTAACTTCATTGCATTCCCAATGTCATTCAAACCTATGCCCTTGGTAGAGCCCTCCTCATTAAAGCTCCATCAGCGAGTGCCATCATTACCTGTTTATTCCTTTCACTTCTCCCTCCCCTCCCTCTCTCTCATAGCCAGCCAGCTGCCACACACTACAGAGGATATTCCAATTAGAATCAACATACACAGACACACAATTGTGCACTGGTGGATATTCCAATTAAATACAACACACCAGGCAAACCCAATCCAATGCAAATGCACAAGAAGTCGCCGGTGGACATTGTAATTAGTTGAATAAACATGGCCTGGGGAGGTGGGATGTTCGGCCATACCAGATAGGAAGCCCCTTTTATCATGTCATGTAGGATACACACGTATGCAGGCACAAATGCACACACACACCACTTCTGAACAAAGATATACCTCTTAAAGCGGTACAAAAACACACCAATGACTTCTACAGTCACAGCTCTGCATTTTCACAACTTAAAGGTGTCTTTACACATCAGATCATGGACACACAACCTATGACTGGGTTAAAGCCATAAACTGTGAAAAACATGGACATAGTCATAGAACATTATTTGGTTTCTGAAGCCCTTCAGTGTGAGTCGTCATATTTGAAAGTCAGTCTCAAACAAACCTTCGGTCAACCTGGATACGGGATAAGAGGCGGAGCTGAGGTGTGTATGGGACTTCTGGGACTTTTAGAGACAACCTCAAGTGGACACTTGCAAAACTGCACTTTTGTGCATGTCAACATTGGCTTCATTTGCTAGCAGTGCAAGTTGCCGCTTGGTTAAAGCCTCTGTGTGTGGTGAGTGAATCAATAATTCTCTTCATTTTAGGTTCTAATTGTGTAACAGTGAGCGGAAAATTGGGGAAAAAAATGTCCTTGTTTAAAAAAAAAAGAGAGTAACTGATTCCCTTTAAACTTCCTGAATCAATAACTAGCACCAAACTGGCTGGCTCCTTGATGGAAAAAAAAAAAGAAGATAAAAACACTATGAAACATGCAGTCAGAGTGTGATTTCCCTGATGTGTGATTAGACAGAATCACTTTGATGTCAGCTTCTCTGCCAAGCGACGAAGGCGTGCACCCATCTGGGAAGTAAAATGGGCTGAGACGCGAGGAAAGGGAGAAAGAGAAAATTGCCTGACTGACACTCCAAAATAGGGTGAGACAAAATAGTTTTTTAGAGGGAGCAGAAGGGAGGATTTGAACCTTCTGTTGGCACACACGGGTTTCCGTGTTCATGTATTACAGGGTAAAGGATATTAATATTTGATTGCTGTTTTACTTTGTTCACTGAGTGAATTAAGAGATTTGGATTAGTGTATCTAAAGTGTGTTTGTGTGTTTGTATTTGAAACCTGTGAATGATTAAATTCTAACTACATCTGTTTCCAATGTTGCCTACATGTCTTATCACTGCTTATCTTTTTACTATATGTGCACATTCACAGTTTACACAGGTTAGGTATTATGATGTACAGCCTGTGACATGTGCAATCAATGCTCTGCCTTGAATCTGGAGTCTATCAGGTGTTTGGAAGCTACAGCAGCAATATCAACAAATTGAATCAATACACCACTACTGCTTTAGCTTTAGTAAATGCTTTACTATGTGTATACGGTGTTGTTATGAAGGTATTGAAGGTATGAATGTTCATGCCTCTGAATGCCTGATAAGCTGATAAGGTGAAAGGACAGCTCTTACAGATGGTCACACAATCAGTAAATCACTAACAAACCTGAAAGGATGGCTTCATACCCTTTATGCTTTAAACCAATAGCTTCCTGTTGCTCCTTATCAAAGCTAATGACAGAGGCAAGTGGAAAAAATAAACTCTATTAGGTTTGTTTTTATTTGAAAGATAAGAACAAGAGGAAGAAGGAAAGGACATTGTATTTATTTATGTGTGGCTATATTGGATTATATCAAAAGAAGGCAAGAAGCTACATTTATGTTTTAATACAACCATTAATCAATGTGAAACCTGAACCTTGTAAATGCTGCCCTAACACACTAATAGACACGCAACTTCCCCCCAGCTTGTCCAAGTTACATCTCACTCACATCATCCCTTCATCAATAATTGACACAGGTGGGAAGACTACACTCTGCAGTACAACCCTTTGAAAAGCCGGGACCCAGGCATGGATCCAGTCAATCAGACAGACAGAAAATCCTCTTGTACTTGCGGGGGATTGTCAGGAGTTTTTTTGACTCGGAGCCATTAGTATAGCTGCAATTGAAAGAAGAAGAAAAAAGACACATCTATTTCTTAGTTCCAAGAGATGCTGTTTTGATCTCTGAGAAGTTGTCAGCAGAGAAGATGAGGCAGACTTTTTTTTTTTTCCTGTAGCAATACATGTAAATTTATGACTCAAAAAAAGTCATTCCAAAACTTAATATTGCAGCAAAATGGGCTCAGAAGAGCTTAGTCGTGCTCATAGAAAGCCATAAACTGCACCAAATACCACCTGTGTGTGAAAAGCTATCTTATAAAATATATTTCACTTGGCTACACGTTTCATCTAAGCACCCTTCTCAATGAAATCAAACCACGTACAAAGACGCACAATAACGACAGCAGAAACCGCTAAAATCACCATGTAGTCATCTTTTTCAGGCTTTATGATGTCGAAAAGAAAATGTGTTTAAATCCCAAGCAGGTCATACGCGGGGTAATCCAGCAGACAGTCAGTCACACACCATGGTTTCATCCTCTCTGCAGACTCATAAATCCTAAAGATGATGAGGATGAAGTGCAGACATCTGCAATACACTCATACTCTCTGCAGACTGGTGTACGCACAAAGGATGTTAAAAAAACTGTGGTAAAAGGTAGAAAACAAAATATACAGTAAGCACACACACTCACCCTCTCTGCGGACTGTGACGTGCCAAAGAAGATGGGTATGAACGCCAGCCAGATGATGCAGGTGGTGTACATGGTAAATCCGATCGGCTTGGCCTCATTGAAGGTCTCGGGCACCCCTCGCGTCTTGATGGCATACACCGTGCAAGTCACCATCAGCAGGATGGAGTAACCCAGGGAGCAGATGAGGGAGAGGTCCGAGATATCGCACTTGAGGACGCCGCGCGCCGACGTGGGGTCCTGGGTCCGCTGCTCGCCGTAGTCCACGACCGTGTGAGGAGGGTCCACCGCGAACCAGACGAAGACCCCGAGGAGTTGGACGGAGATTAGCGAGAAAGTGATGACGAGCTGGGAGGCCGGTGAGATGAACCTGGGAAGGCAAGGGTTATTGATATGATAAAGTGGGGGTTACAAGTAAAAAGTACACTTTAAAAATTGGTCTTACTTCGGATATTCAATAATAATAATAATAATACATTTTATTTATAAGCCCTTTTAAAAACTCAAAGACACTTTACAATAGCTAAAACATAAAGAACAGCACAGTAAGGACAGACTAACGGACATCGCAGCATTACACACAAATCATAAAGATAACAACAATAAAGATAAACTACAGAAAACAGAAAATACATCACAATCATACATTAAAAGCTTGTTTGAAGAAGTGAGTTTTGAGAAGTGATTTGAAAGTAGGAGGGTCGGTGCAGTGTTGAATGTGTGTAGGGATGATGATTGATGATGAATAATTTCTCTAATGGTTGTTTGGTCAAACAAGTCTTTCCCCCCCAAAACCTTTTTGAAACACTTAAAAATCCTTGACTACCAGCCTCAAAACAAGGCTGTTTTTCATAGCGCTGCTAAAGTTGATGGAAGTTTGGTACTTCACAGAAACAATTTATTATACTCCTATACATGCGCCCATACACTCTGAGAGATGGGGTGAGTTGAGGAGAAAGGTAATGATGAGATCTGAGGCAAGAATGAAAAAGAGGTGCAGTGAGGAGCACTGGAGAGAGGACAAGTTATGAAAGATGAAAGAGAGATAAAAATGAGAACGAATAATACCCAAAACAAAAGCTGGATTCTGATTCACACCCCGAGTGAAGAAAAAAAAGTAATTCTTGAGGCTTTTAGATTCAAAGGATGTTTGGTCGCAAACTACCATGAAACAAAATATACTGGGACCTGAAACTGACGAGGCCCACTCAGTTATGCTCAGTATAACCCCATATCAGAATGTCAACGTTTACAACAGAATTTAACATGTTTACTACCTGGTAGTTTTTCTATGCATGGCAACTGTATGGAGGATATTTCTAACTGGTTCAAATGATATTAAGGCTTCATATTACGCATGATTCGATGTGTGGTTGATTTGATTGGCAAGTGGGTACATCTAGCAAAAGGATATATATCTACACGGCTAATTGAGACACTGAACTTGAGCTATTTTGGTGTTTTTCGTACTATTTGAGGATTCAAATATTGGACAAAAGGTATTTTTTGCTTTGCAGTAATTCTACACTTTACCAATTTTCTCTGAGTGAAAATCTAGAGGTATTTCTTTTACATGTTAGAACTTAATAGCGGCTATAGAAGTCTATTCTCAACGTAGCTAGCTTGTTAGCTGATCATCCGTTGGTTATGCATTGCTTTATGTTTAACGGCCCTTCTATGGGCATCAGGGTTATTATTGGCTTTTTACATGTGTAAAAATGAGCCGTTGTGAAAGCAAGACCATTATTAAAATGAAAATGAATGTGTCTATGATACGGTCTACTGGCAGACTGCATCGTTTTGACAACATAGCATGCCACCCCCTTGCTCTTTCCAAGGGGCTCCCACTTTCTCAAATTTATCAACTTGTGCCTTGACTGGAAAGCTCAGAAGGCAGTCGTCAAACCAATGGGTGACATCATTGTGACTACCTCTATTTTGCTACATATGTGTACAGTTAAAGCAACTGTAGAGAATAGAACTAAAACGCATTAAATGAGTTCCCAGGCTTTCCTGGATAACAGGCAAAAAAATATTCCATTAATTATTCGTAGAAAAAATGTCTATGTTTGATTAATAACCGTAAAAGCTCCACTAACTTATAGATGGGTGTTTCCAGATGAAAAACAGTTAACCATCTGGGCATCAGGGACATGAACCTGAGTACTATTAAATACCGCATTAACATTTTAGCCACTCAGTTGATGCTCTCCTCCAGAGTCACTGTCACTGAGTGCAAACAGCACAATAGGTGAGTATGAGTTCATGCCTCTCATGCATAATGGATGCAAAGTAAATTATGAATAATGATTGCAAGCAGCTTAGTAAGGAGAGCGAGTAGGTTAGATCTCTATATAAATACACAACCAAACCTGGGTGTACAAGGAAACACACAGACAGTGACCTTCAGTGTTATATCATCCAAGTCTTTGTGGACTGAACACTTACACATGTTGAAAAAACAGAGTGTGAATAATGAGAGCGAGGGATTTAGTCCTCACCTGGGTGCTGTTACAGACTTCTTCCCTTGTTCAAAGATGCGGTGTATCCTGTTGGTTTTGGTGAGCAGCGCTGCGTAGCTGAAACACATCCCCAAACCTAAGAATATCCTCCTGAACGAACACACTCCAACGTCCGGCGTCGCAATCATCAGGAACGTGATGGCATAACAAAGGAAGATTCCCGTCAGCAGCACGTAGCTCATCTCCCGTCCCGACGCTCGCACGATGGGCGTGTCATTGTAGCGGACAAAAGTAACGATGACGAAGGAGGTGGCGATGATGCCCAGCATGGAGATGAAGACGGGGAAGATGGCCCAGGGGGAGTGCCACTCCAGCTTGATGATGGGGATGGGAACGCAGCCGGTGCGGTTGGTGTCAGGTCGCATCTCGTACGGACACAGCTCACAGGTGAACTCTGATGCCTGGGAAGAAAACAATTTCCACAAGAGAAATATGTCAGAAAATCTAAATTTAGATAAAGCTTTCAACATTTTGTCATTAATTGGACCAAAGATAATGGAAAATCTTAAAGCCATATTGATCCAGCGTATTTGTCCATCTACAACGAACACTATTTGAGAGTAAATCTACACAAACAAGCCAGTACAGAATCCATCCAAGTTTCTCTACACAAACAAGCTTAATATGCTTTTTAAAATATATATTCCCTCAACTGTTTAAGAGAAAAAAAAGCTTTTTTACATTTTCATTCTTTTGGAATGTTACTTTCCTTTCTTCTTAAATCCCAAATCTATAATAAAGTTGTCCACAGATTATTGATTTTGCTCTGACAAAAACTTTACTGCTGCCTGTATGGTCATTTTAGTTTTTCTCTTTATTGCTTCCTGAACAAGGGAGTTTTCACACACATTTCTTCATCGCATAGGTTTTTTTTTTACTTAATAAGAAGGGCGATGGGCTGCCAAATTGTCCCCAGCCAGGATATAATGAACACAGGGTATGTATCCTTAAATGTGTGTTGGGGATCGTTTCCCTCACCTGGTATTTTGTACTTCCATTTGCTTTTATAGCATCAGTGGGGTTCTCTCTGCATATATTAATCTAAAATGGGACACCTATTTTTGATTGCCTGAAATGAGTTGAAGCTCTGATTACTACACATGGGACTGAAATCCTATGATGTGTCAAACTCTGCATTCAGCAGCTGCAGAAAATGAATATATGCAGGGACTACAATTATGAATCACAAAAAGAAATGAAGCACACTAATCATCCAGTTGGTTCATTGTTAAAACATTTTTTTTATTCATTTGAATGTAGCTTTGGTTGTCAGCAGCAGATCTTCATTTTTTACCAACAACAACCAACAATTTAAAAGTATTTTTCTTCGTATGACTAAAGGAAAGACAGAAGCTTTTTCCTAATAAATAAAATATAGACTTGTAAAAAAGTAATGCAGCTCTTCATCACTTATGGTCCTCCATACATGTGTGGTGGTGACTGTATCTGCAGAGACTTTGTTGTCTGCCTGTATTTTGATGTTTTGGTTTGTTTTGGTAAACTCTGGACATTTTAAGGACGGTGGGTGGGTGTGTTTCCCCCAGCCAATGGCAGCGCACAGCTGAGTTAAGGAGTGGATACAGTTCAGCGAGTGGACGGGAATATTAGGCTGGCTTTCACCCGCGGACGTAGAGCTGGCCTTCTGTCTGTTGGACATGCAGGTGCACCTGCGGTTAGCTTGTGCTAGCAAGGAGTTTGCGCTCAGGAGGAGGGGCCCAGTTTCAATGAACAATTCTACTGACTCTACCTTTAACACAAAAGGGATTGACAAATAATTTAATGTTTAGATGGATATAAAAAGTCTACTGTTACTAGTTTTGTACTTTTAGAGACTCAGCTTTTATCTTTTCATGAAAAGTAAATGTGTTTTGGGAGTTTTTCCCACTGAAACCTGAGAATGTCAAAATGAAAATGTTCAGCGAGCATCGAGTTTGATACAAAGTCTTGAATTTAAAAAACAAAACAAAATCCAACTATGTGGTCCTTTCCACCTGCATCCTGACACAATTAGCATCTCACCATTACCAATTGAGTATGTCTATTGGGTAGGTTATGAGTATGTATTCTATGTCATATCTTGACAGGCTGGTTTTCCAGTTTGTGCAAAAAAAAAAAAAGACAACACTGTAGAAATAATGGACAAAACCAAAGGTTGAATACAAATTGAGGCAACAGCAGGTACAGTGTTCTGTATTTTCTACCTGATAATGGTACCCTTCACATCGCTCGCAGTGCCAGCAACACGGCACTCCTTTGACCACTTTCTTCCTTTCCCCCGTGCGGCATGGGATGCTGCACACAGAGGGTGGGAGAGACGGATCACCTGTTTTCCAACGCATGGCCTCCACCTATTAGATGAGAGGAACAAATTGGACAAAGGCAAATGTAGTTTTAGTCTCAAGGGAAACAAAACAATTGTTTGTGTATTCATGTTGCAAAACATGAACACACAAACACCTTTATATTGTCTACTATGAGGCACTAAGATTGGCAGCCATCTGCTGAGGCTCACATAGCTTAATTTGAACAGTCCTTTAACACTCAGTATCGCAGTGTACCTGCAGAAAGTGTGTCTGCAGGGCAACTTGGAGAGCAATTAGCACAAGCAGATCCTCTGATCATTTTCCTGAGGCCTGCCGGGCACAAACCTAACACCAGCTAGTCTGGAAGCCAGCAATCAGACCGTAATCAGATCTGGCACAAATAGGCCATCTGTATTTCCTTCTGTGTGTGTGTCTGTGTGTGTGTCACCATGGTTGTCAGTGTGTGCATATGTTCTACTGTGTGCGTTTTGTTTGTTTGTGCTCATGTCATGCTGGCATTATAGTGAATCCCTGAGCTTTCCGTATGTCTGAGTTCTTGCTTTTTAATTTGTTGTTATGAGTGTGCGAGTGTTTGTAACTCTGCCATTACCCCGAGTCCCTGAGGTTCATCTGTTGCTGTGGGTGCTCAGGAAAATGGAGCATTACCGTTTTAAACAGGCACACAGTGTACAAGTCCAATGAAAACTAGTTAGCAGGAAAAACCCATCAGGGACTGTGAGAATGGACTTGATTTGATCAGTGACACACAGAGAAACGCACACTCACACACTTGAGGTTACTTTCTGTTAACATTTTAGTGCTGCAAATACATCTGTCAGAAATATTCTGTTGCGTTTTGGTGCGTATTAGAATTCTTTCGAGACAGTTTTGTACCTGTTTTTTTTGGGTGAGAATTTCACATAATTTTCTCACAGCGCTAAAAGTTCTTGATTTTGACATACACAAAGACACTCAACTATTTACAATGGCCACCTCACAACTACATAGACCTGGTTATGTATCTCTATTCTATTCAAAAACGTATTTAAAGGATAATAGAAATAACAGACTATATACACACGGAGCCCATTTTTCTGTTAAGTCCCATTCAAGCTTGGAAGATTAAATCATCTTATCATGTCTTACTGCTTAGTTCCAGGTTGCACGTCATATAAACATCAAGAATCGGACAAAAGTTTTCATTTAATGCTTCCGGATTGATAAGAAACTACAAAGAAATGGATACTAAAAATCCAGATTGATTCAGCATTTTACAAATTACAAATGTTATATGTAAACCCATTAGCTATTAACCCCTTTATCTTAGCCCTGCCCAGAACAGGCTGTTTCTGTGTCTATAGCCTTTGATGCTGTGTTCGACCACGCACCTCTATGGAAGGGCGTAGGTGGCTTGGGCTTTCTTGCACCATACTCTATTTTTTACAGTGAGAAGGCAGACTCAGAGGGCCGAACAAACACAGAGCTTTGTGCAGTGTCACCACCTGGGGGAGGGGTTACTACCCTTTGTGATGTCACAAAGGGAAAATATCCATGCAGCCTGTTCAAGCGCACGTTTTTGAAAAAGGGGAGCAGGCAAAAGATGGAGAGGGTGGACATTTAATTTAATCAGGGGGATGGAATACTGGCTAGGAAAACATATCGAAAAACACTGTAAAGTGTATTTTGAATAATATGTGACCTTTAATGTTTTCAAGCATACAACATGAAGCTAGCTCTTCCTTCTAGCTCCACTCTTACTGTTATCATTGATGAGGTGTCGTGAAAGTATAATGTTAGGATCTTTTTTTAAGTTTTCACAAGCTGATTGATTATTTCGTCAACTGACTACTTGAGTAGAGGGGACATTGATTGCTCTGTTTACACCGTACGGTACAGGCAGACGGACGTCTTAATTCATTCAATCCACGAGATGTATTTAGACACTTTCACAGTCTTCACGAGATGCTGTCCAAACTTCACACTGGCAGAGTGACGTCATAAGAGTATTGCACAATGTGAATATGGTCGATAGAATTCTTAGGTTGGCTTTTTTTTTTTCTTAGCTGTACATGTCCTAGTTTAGTTTATTTTTCATAGTTTGCTGTTAGTTGGTTTATTTTGACACAACTGTTGGGCCAGAGTTAGCTATGACGCTAATTTCCATACGTGCAGAAAACAAACATTACAATACAAACAATTCAAATCAATACACAACAATTAAAAGCATTAAACACTTTTCTAAAGTTTGTTGATCACAAATACGTTCATGCCTCCATCACTGCAACTGCCACTGAACCTTTCAACCCTAACTGGATTGTTAAACAAATCTAATACTTGTGTTAATTTGTCAACTGTCAAAGTGTCCAATCATGTGTGTCTTAACTATGTGTTGTCCTTTGTGTTCAATCTTTCTGTCTGTCTCTCTTACTCTCTCTCTCCCCGAGTGAGCAAGGGCGTCCATCAGGCAGAAAGCACTTCATGTCTATTAGTCTTCTCATATGTCATCTGGCCTTTCTAATGAAGTCCTGGGTGGATTTATAACACCAAGTGCTCTGGTGTGCCTCAGGATTTTGTGCGCACACATGTGTGTAAGTGAAGTCGTGAGATTCTGAGACAAAGACAATGAGAGTCCAGATTTCTTGTGCATTAAATGAAGAGTTTTTTGTGGATGGATTTGCTGCTCATGTGTAAACTGCAGCTTTAACAAGTCTTATAAATGTTTGTGTTTGACCTTGTGTAGGTGTGTGTCTGCATGAGTGAATCCCTGCACAACACTTAACATCCTGAATGAAAATGACATGTGTACACTTTTTTTTGTTCAGATGCTCAAATAAGATAACTTTTGCTTCTGAAAAAAACGAAATGAAGATAAATCCAACTTTGTGAGAGAAAGATTTTCAATTCAAGACAGCTGCTTAGAGCGATGTTGAAGTTTTACTCTCATGTGCTCTGTTATACTTCAGAAACTTCAATAATCCAGTCTATTCAAAGAACATGCTGAATTCTTGTGTTTGCATTTTTTCACATGAAGCCAGTGTCCTTTGCAGCCATAGAGAGAAAATGGAGGCTCAATATGCAGTGAGCTTGAATTTGAACTTTTGATGTTCAGATTTTGATGAGCATGACATTAAATGAATGTACAGATGTAGTTGAAGTGATCTTGATTAGACCCCACCACCACTATAATCTCACCTTGAGGTGTAGTTTGTTGGTCCAGGAGCCAATGACTCTGTACTCTGCAGTCGATCTGTTGTTGATCTGGTATTGGAAGATATCGTATCTACCTGGAGCATCTCCATTCTCGTTGAAAACCACAGGCGTACCGGCACTTCCTGGACCAAAGAGAGTGGATATTGGAGAGAGGGTGTGCTTATTAATTTATTCTGACACTATTCCAGATTGATTTCAGCTCAGTTGGTACATTTGTATTGCTTACATAGGAATGAAAAAAAACCCTGAAAAGTAAAAAGGTAGAAAATAACAACATATTATAGGCCAAAATTACAGATATGGCATGACATATTCTCTAGAAGCTGCATTTCACTATGAAAAAAAAAGACAGTTAAAGTCAGACGTGTTGTCTGTTCTTGCAATATCAATGTGGCAAAAAAGAGGTTGCAATTCTTTCAGTTTACAAAGTATGTAAAAGACGACTAAGAATGATGACAATAGCGACAAGTAATATCAGATTTTGAGGTGAATATTAGAGGTAGAGTGAAATCAATAAATAGTCAATTTCCCACTTAGCTGTGAATAAATAAATGTGACTGCATGAATGAAAGACGTTCCTGATTTAGTTTTTGGTCCCCTTTAACTGCCCAGTAGGAGTATCAGTCTTTTTGAAGTCGCAGTCACAATGAATGTGTTTGGTTGAGCATTGACTCTGCCTTCTTCAATCTAGTTAAATTATTTGTCATCCAGCTCGTCGTGTCATTTAACCTTGTATTTTCTCTGCTGTTTCCTTTAATGTCTTTCATTTTTGCCACAGGAAATGGGCTGAATCTTTATTTACTTGACAACTTTCCACTGATTTATACGATAGGAGTTCGCCCTCTAGACAACTCATCAGTCAGAAATGACTAATTGTTACATTCAAAAATCTTTTATTACCTAAATTTGTGAAAGAGACTTTACTTAGCTTCTTGGAAATAAAGAAATAATAATATATTTACATGCTAACCTTAAGACATTGATTATTATTGTAGCATTACATTACACCAAATATATATATATGAGGAACACAGATATTTAATGAAACAGTCATTTATCAGAATATTAAGGAGTCATGACGGCAAAGGCACCATCATGTTTAGTCTTTAATGTAAACTGGATTGCATTGTACCAGTGTGTGTGTGTGTGTGTGTGTGTGTGTGTGTGTGTGTGTGAGTTTGCTACAGAGTGTTGTGATTGAATATGCACATGCGAGGGTGAGTTTATGTGTCCTCTTAGGTTTAGTTGTCTCACCACCAATAACACTCAACACAAAGCTTTTATCCGTTTTTTCCCCCTCTGTCTTACTCTTTTTACATCTTTCATGTAGCAACGCTATCAAATCAGATTTCTGAATCTGGCGTAGCATAAAAGCAATCCAATTACAGTGAGCACCGCAATATGGAAATTCCACCTGTGTTCTATAAGTCCTTGATATGGTGGGATGATGCTGAGGGAATATAAAAAGCAGTTACCTGTTTGAGGGAAACTAAGACGGACAGATAAAGACCAAATGTGAGGATAAAGATTGGTAAATGACTAAGAGAATGAAAAAAAAAAAGGCAGACAAAAGAGAGTGTCAGGCAAACAGAGGAGATATTACAAATGCCAGAACAAGAAAATAATACCAGAAATCAATGTATAGTTGTTGGAGAGCAGAAAACTAAATTGAAAGACAGACAGAAAAATGAGAGAGGAAACTGGTCAAAGAGAGTAAGGTGGGTAGAGAAAAGGTGGGTTCAACGATGGCACAGAAAGGAAAATAGTCACAGGAAGAAAGGAGAAGAGAAAGACAAAGGAAATAGAGAAGAGAGAGACTCAGGTGTGGTGAAAAGACATGAGAGATACATGTATGAAGAGACAAAGAGAAAATGAGCGATTATTGAGAAAGAGAGTGAGAGAGACAAATGGAGAAAGATTAAATCAATAGAGACAAAAGCAAATGTCTCTCGTCGTTTCCACAGGTTATAAATGAGCCACATTGCAGCCACTACTGGAACATGTCCAACAGTACCTATTGTGCTTCCTGCTTTAACTGTTCTGCTGACACAATCTAACCATGTGTTTAATGTAGTCTTTACTCACCCTGACTCTTGCCCCGCCTGTCATAATTAGATACCAAGATTGACTGAAAACTGATATTACATATTTTGGTCGACTCACTGTGCAGCACAGTAGGAGAGGCACAGTAAATAAAGCTTCTTTGGATCACATATTCAAATTGGTTTTACTACTGTAAAATGTGTATTGTGATACTTTGGCGTACAAGTGCTTTGACTTTGAAGTAGGAAAACAGAATTATCTCATCTTTGTTGAGAAAGTGATTTTTAAAGCCTCTGGAAACCCAAAATCCACAATAATCTTCTAACTGAGTTGTTTATAATCTTATGCAGATAATGTGTTCTCTCTAATAGAAATAACATCTGTCAAGGTGCCGGTAGCCTAGTGGTTAGTGCATACGCCCATTGTACAGAGGCTTTGGTGCTCCAGGTGGGCGGCCCAGGCTTGAATCCGACCTGTGGCTCCTTTCCCACATGTCATTCCCAACTCTCTCTCTCCCCCCGGTTTCTAAGTCTATCCACTGTCGTGTCTCTAAATAAAGGCAGTAAAAGCCCAAAAATAAGCCTTAAAAAGGGGAAAAAGAAATGACCTCTTGTCACGTACGTTTTGGAATATTTTCAGATCTTGGGTGTGAATTGGGCGGGGTTAGCGATGAGATTTATAAAGACATCAATTTCAAACCAAATAATAAAAAAATACACACATATCCGCCCAGTCAAGTGCAACACAACTCCTTTGCTGCTTCTCAATCTCCGTGTAGTCCGAGTCGACGCCTCACTACGACGCCGTTCGCAATTTGCTAGCTAACAACGTACCGTAATCTCTCTATACTCACATCAGTCTCACCCCTGTCCCTCTCAATCTCTCACTTTCTCTCTCCCCTTACAATCGTTGCGCCTTCATGCTCACGTGAGTTGTTCCATGCTGCACATCCACCCGCGAAGATGACAGCTTGTCATGCGCTGGGGATTGGGAGAAACAGTCGGCACTCGGCAGTGTTTTTTGGTGAGCCGTGGTGGAGTCAAACAAAAGCACTCCCCCAAGACAGCTGAATCAATTTTGCCAGGGAAGCTGTGAGGCTTTGCCAAACGGCATTGTCTTGATCCCTGAGCAGTGTCCCCGCACTTCAGCCTCTTCAGAATTGGAAGAAAAGGGAGACATTTTGATAGACATACAGTATGTCATCAAAATTTGGGAGCTGCCACACCCACACAGTCCTGAGAATTGACCTAAACTAGCTAAATAAGCGATTTTTGACAAAGTTTTCTAATAGTTCTTTTTTTTTTTCATTTTGACTCAGATTTTTGTGGATCCTTAATGAAACATTTTGATATCACATGTGAATTTCATATTTAGTCCACCACATAGTTTACCACTCCACTATAAAGAGCATAGGAACAAACATGTATTACCACCTGGTATGATAACTGTTCAGCAGCAGACAGGAAGGCCCTCCAGAGAGTCATCAACACTGCTCAGAGAACTGTTGGACTTCCCCTGCCCTTATTGGACGACAGCTTCAGCACACGCCGTCTCCGCAGAGCCAGCAGCATCGTTGAAGGAGGAAGTTACCCACCGCTTCAACCACCTTTTTTCTGTTGCTAGCTGGAAGATGTGTCAGGGCCCTTAAGTACTGGACATCAAGATTTAAAAACAGTTTCTACCCCAGAGCCATCATTGAACTTTAACTTGACAGAGTTAATGGCTCAAACACCAAAAACCAAACAACCCTGCTCCCCCCGATATCACTGACAGAACTTACATTTGACCTGAGCTTTGTGCATAACATTTACGTGCAAGAACTCATTATTTATGGTGCATTAACATTTAATGTACAAAAATAATACTCTGCGTTTTGCTGTGCTATATTTATCTTGTGGTGCAATAACAATGTACAATAACCATGCTGCGAAATATGTAAAATGAAATATTGTATTTTTCTTCTTCTAAAATCTGTTCATGTGCAACAGTTTCAGACAATTCATGGGGCGTTATGACTTCATATCTATACAAACATTTATTTGTATCCTTGGAATGTGCCTTACAGTCCAGAGGTTATTAACACTGTAGACTGCACTGAATGCACTAGACCTGTTTTTAACTACCTCTGTCGACAACCTTTTGAAACTGTCATGGCTTAACGTGACGAACGTGAGAAGCACAGCAAATCGTGTCATACCATGTGCAATGACAATGAAAGCATTGTATTATATTCTATGTTTCAAGTCAAGTTTCCAGAGCCTTTAAGAATATAACATCATAGCAAGCATCCAGTTCGCTCGAGCAAACACATCCACCAAACTACCGGTCAATACCTCACAAACATCTAGTATTTAATACACAACTGTCCAGATTAACGATGGCAACTATTAGCCAACATCCTACCAACAATCATCATAGCAAACACCGATGAACTATGCAACACTCTAGTGACCAATTTCACAGAGAAGCACGCCACACACTTAAGTAATCAATCAGTGATGTCTCTAACACAGACAGAGTATCTATCTACACCCATAGAGACCACAAAGGACATCATTATAACTTATCAACAACTCTGAACCTAAACTCTGCAATAAGCTTAGATTTCTTTTACTTTGTCCTCGCTCCATGACACTGTTTCTTTCTCTGTTCTCTTCCAGACTTCTGTTTTTTTTTTTTTACAAATGTAACACAAATGGGTTTTTCTATTTACCTCAACTCAGTAAGAAAGAATCAGGCTGTTGACACATTCCTGACCATTAGACTGAAAACTACAACAACTCAATGTTCTCTTCTTTCTCATTTTCTCTTCTGCTTCTGTTCTTTGCAATGCTCTTTTTCTATGGCAATTTAGCCTCCATTTGTCTCATGATCTCGCTGTTCTTTCTTTCATTGTGTTCCCATTTTCATTCTTTCCCTTTTCTTTCCATCCTTAGATCTATCATCACTCACCTTCTGTAGGCCCTACATTTTTGCAGATTTCCATCTTGCTCTTCTGTTTACCTACTTATTTTTCATTGACCCCCTTTGCTCCATGTTTTTTTCAAATCCTTTTCTATATGCGTTGGTCCTGTTTCCC